TTTGATTCTGGTCCTTTAGGTATCATGATTATCATGAAACTTATATATATATATATATATAAATACTATATATTGCAAGTTGTGAATCATCGAAAACGCATACAATTTCCAAGCAGAAACAAGACAGAAGACCGACAGAAATCGGTGAGTCCCTCTTAGAGTCGAAGCATGACTTGGATTTATTTTTCTCTCCCACGATTTTGTTACCTTTTGACCATGGACACATGGTCGAAAACGCAGGATATTATCACGCTTCGTGGCCATAGATCTCTCTCTCACGCCCCCAAATGCTTGCTCTCCTCGCTACTTCTTGCGTGTTAACATTTTTTTTTTCCCCCTCCTTATTGTTTTTCAATCTCGAACAGAACACACACAGCACCAATTGTCGATATTTTTATAGCGCACACACACACACATATATATATATATCTTCCCTCCTTTTTTTTTTTTCTTTTCTTAAAGATCAATCTCCACGAGGATTCATAGGAAACCGCGAGAGAATTATTCGCCTTTTCTATTTTTCTATTTTTCTTTTTTTTTTTTTTCTCTCATTCGAATCTCGTCACGCTTCACCTAGTGCAGTCTGATCTAGATGGATCTAGATCAGAACGATCCAAAATGTTTGAACACTTTGTTCGAGAAGCCTGCATTTTTGCCAACTCGCTTCCGATATATATATATATTTATACGATTTCTTATTTATCCTCTTCTATCTTCTTCTATTTTTTTCTCTTTCTCATCTTTTTTTTTTGTTTCCCTCTTTTGATATTCCTCTCACGACGCCTCGTTGCACTCTCGTGGAATTTTTTTTTTTTAAATCGATCCTCATTTTCTCTTCCAACACATTTGGATGATAAAAGAAATGATCTATCCAAGGTTTTATCTTCTATCGTGATTTCTCCGTTACTCCTATATATAAGAAAAAGAGATCGGATCCAAAGCTAAAACTAATCAAAAATTAACCAACTTTTCTACTCCCACCATCTTGAAATCAATCGATCAAATTCAAAAGAGAACAACGTATGATTTCCTTTCGAAAAAAAATAATCTAATATCCTTCAATCAAGCAAACTCCAGATGCTTTGAATCATCATAATCGAAAAGTCTCTCTTTCGAAATTACCTTCCTCTTCGAACTCAATACTCTCCAATGCTCGCTCCATCGTCATCAGAGGCGAGACTCTTTCAAAAAATTGAGTTCAAACACTTGTTTGTCTCAAAAAAAAAAAGAAAAAAGAAAAAACTGTTCGAAATTTCGAGAGACGCGAGAGTGCAACGATCGAACTATGACGGTACGGTGAAAATCGGCCAGAAGCGACCGGGAGGAAGCTGTTCGGAGGCTGACAGTAGCTCGTCTTTTGGTTGGTTGGTTGCATGACTAGCTGGCAGCGCAGGAAGCGGTAGCAGCAGCGGTAGCAGCAGCAACAGCCAAAACAGCCAGACTGGCGCGTCACCGTCCTCGCCAGCGGCCATCTACATCGGCAGCAACCACGCGGCGACGCCCACGGCATCGTCGCGACGCTACGACTCCTCGAGCAACGGTCTGTATCCATTTCACACCTCTCTGCCTCTCTGGCTTTCTTCTCTGGTTCGATGTAACAACCGCGCGTACGATCGTTGACAAGAGTTTTTTATTCGAGGACGAATAAAATAAAATTTGAAAGGTTGGTTCTAGAGGCGAAAATATATTTGAAGAACGAGTATTGTTGAAAGTGTCGTTTGAGATTTTATTTATAATATCGGAATAGCTATTAATAAACTCGGGAAACGAGTGTTTCTTTGCGGTTTAATAAATACATCTTGAATGGCATTTTTCAATATTACTTGTTACTTTGTACAAACTTTGTTTTAGCCTTTAGAATTGAACTTGAAGATATATATATATATATATATATATGTATATATTGATATTTTAAGAAGAATAGCTTAAGAAATAATTTGTTAACAGGTTAAAATCGAGAGGTTTATGAAAGAGTAAGGATAACTATTTTGCTTTATTGTATTAAGGTTTACAGTAATTTATACTCTAGTTTATCCCTCGATTCTTTCTCTTTGCTATATTTTTCATTTTTTTTCTTTTTCTCTTTTGTTTCTCAGTCGTCGATGAAAATGTTTAATGCATCGTTGATCGAGAAGAGCACGAATTATATTATCGATAATAAAACGAGAACAGTCAGAGAATATATTTAAAGATAGATATTTAAAAAAAAAATCTTTCGATCTATCGTTTGATCGTCAACTTTGATAAAATCGTTTCTAAAATGTATAATTTCGATTTCGAAGATTAGACGAGGGTCGAAAAATTCGGGGATTCGATTATTTCCTTCGCCCTTTTGGATAATGAATTGGCAAGATTTAAAATGGAAATTGGGTGTTTTCCACGGTAGAATTGCAGAGAACGTGTCACGTGGAACGAAACGATCACCGATAATGCGTTTCATTGTGCGGAAACACGGCTGCCATCCGCGTCGCGAGGCTTGATTGATTCCCGTAATGGGCAAAAGTGCATTTATCGCGATCGTGGCCCGTAAATCAGGTTCCCATTTCGCAAATGGAAGACACTTTTACGTTCGATTGCCGAACGCCTCGCTAAAAACGTATCACGATTTTCTCCGTTCGAAAACTCGTCGTCACCTCGACAATTCTTCTTCAAATTATTCCAACTTGCGCGGCTCAAAATTATCCTGCGTTTAATTTAAATTTCTCCTCGAATCGATTTTTTTCCTCGAAATTTAATCTCAAAATTATCCCAAGACGTCTCAAAAAATGGTAATCCAAATTTTAATAAACATAGGAAGGAATAAAATCGATATCGTAATCCTTTGATTTGAAGTTGAAAAAGAATGATGCATTAAGCTTATTTTCTTATATATCGAAATGATATATTATTTTCTGCCGAACGATCTGTCATTCAATCATTCAGGCCAGAGAGGAAAGCGGTCTTACGATCGCCCTTTAATTTTTACGAAATTTTTTTCGATGACCCCTCTTCTCCCCGTGTGTGTTTCTCTGCATGTTCCGGTTGCACGCATCGCTGACATGCCGCCTCGAATTCCAATGCATGCCACTTCGAAATGAATCGGAAACCTTCTCCCTCCAAAAAAAAAAAAAAAATATACAAAAAAAAAAAAAAAAAAAAAAAAAAAAAAAAAAAAAAAATAAAAAAAATATCAGAAGCGGAAATTCGACGCGCGAACAACCCCGGGTACATGCCGCTTAATCAAAACGGATCAGAAGATGGTAAGAAGAATATCAACGCCGGTAAGACCGCAGAGAAGTCGAAAGTTAAGATTGACGAGGACGCCTGCTCGAAGATTAGACGCTGCTGCTCGTTATCATGAAGTTTTGAGCCTTGCGACGCTGCACAATTCTCCTCTCTCGAAGTTACTCTTACTTTCGATCCTTTTGCCACTCTGGAATCTTCTTATTATTATTATTATTCTTCTTTGTTTCGACTCGACTCGATTATCTATTTTGACACGCAGAGAGATACTCGTGGAGAATTGAAAAGAATTGAAAATTCGATTTCGAAGCCTCGAGGCGAGGGAAGAAAATTTGTTGTTGCAATGATCGTTCCCATTCGAAGAGATTTTTTTTCGAGATTCGTTGTTAAAAAATTTTACTTAAAAGTGTTTTTTGGAAATTCCAGAGGGTCGTACAGTGTCGCGTACAGGCTCGCCGCATGTCTCTTGTTTTTTTTTTTTTTTTTTTTTTTCCTTTTAGAGCCTTTCTTTTTTTTTTTTTTTTTTTTTTTTCCCTTTTCAGAATCTCCTTTTTCTTTTTTTTCTTTTTTTTTTTTTTTTTTTTTTTTCCCTTTTCAGAATCTCCTTTTTCTTTTTTTTCTTTTTTTTTTTTTTTTTTTTTTTTTTGCCTTTTAGAGACTGTCTCTTTTCTTTTTTTTCTTTTTTTTTTTTTGCTTTTTTTTTTCTTTTAAATACCTTCAGTTTTTGAATGCCTGATTTAATCATTTGTGATTGAGTCGCAAAGTGACTTTTTTTTTTTCTTGAATCGACTCTGATTCGTGATGCGACGAAATTGTTATATTCCTTCGATGAAATTACTTCATTTGTTAAAAACGGTGAATTTTCCATGATTCGCAAAAAATTACTTGTAGTATTATATTACAAAATGATATGGAAAGATGGTCAAAATTCTACAAATAAATTCTTGATTTTATTCGTCGTGTCGCGTAAATGTCAGTAGTCACGGTTTTAATTTCGGACGGCGAACCGCAAGTAGTAAGTATCGATTTTGATCAGACAAGGAACCCATCGACAGGATACGACGACGTTCAAGGATTATTCTTCAATATTTTGATCTTCTTAACGAAATTTAAAATATTTAAGGAAAAAATTATAATCTAAGAAGTTCTACGACATTTATCTCCATCCACTTTTCGTTCTCAAATGGAAGATTATGAGATGGACTATGCGAAACTCAAAATTATCTCTGTAAAATTATCTCGTCCCCCCCAGTTATTCGTTCTGCATTATGTATCGTAGAGTTTAGTGTGCAAACAGTTTCTCCTAAAATATCATTTCCACGTGAAAGAAGTCAGTTTTTCGAAAAGTTTGCAGGGAAGAATAAAATTAAATGCAGGAAAAAAAAAATAAATAGAAATTCGAAAAAAATGTTTAAATATTTGTGATTTTATTATTTAGGAAAAAATCTCGAAGAAAAAAACTGTTGGTTAAATCGTGGAAATATCACGAACGATCAAACGATTAAATAATTAATAATATGAAATGTCATAAAATTTTTTAACGAAATGATATTTTCTTCGCTTATATTGATCAGGCTGTCGTCTACGCTACAAATTCGCGTGTAATCCGTGTATAGGCGCAAACTGTTAACGTTCTAATAAACTTGTGAAATCTGAGACGTTGTGTTGTATGAGAACGAAACGAATCATCGGACAGGCTTCGTAGTTAATTATTTTAAACTAATCTACTGAAAGAATGATCTTCTAGAAAGAATGGTTTCTCATACGGGCCTGTATCGCCTGTAGCATTTCTTTCTTGGGAAACGAATGGATAAAAAGAATTCGTGTGCGTAGAAGGCGCGAATTTATCAAATTGATTTGAAGCTTCTTTATTGAACGCTTCTCTATGATATATGCATACATTGATACAATATCGTTTTTATCGTCGTTTTCGACGATATTATAAAAACTTTATCTTCGTATATATTTTGGTTTATTTTATTTTTTTTTTTTATTTTATTTTTTTCTCTTTCTTTTTCTCTCTCTTTATTTTTTATTGTACAGGAAAACTCTGATATACAGGATGTTAAATATATCGCTTATAATGTAACTGAAAAGCAATTGATATTAAGAAATGTACAATTATCTCTTATCGTTTTTCATGCAACGATAAGAATGATAATTTAATAAGGAAATATATTTTGAAGTAAGTTTACAATGTCATTTGAAGGTGACTTTAATTATACTTAAGTCACTTAATATGACGTTGAAAATTTTTATCGGAAAATATTTTTCCTTCGAATTATTATCCTATAAAAATGTTCTGCATTTTTTTTTCTCATAATATATCAATTGTTTAGCAGTTACTTCAAACGACATTTAATAATAGACACCCTGTATATATATCGTATATTTCTTGCGTGCACGTATTCAAAGTGATTCATTGACAGAATCGAGTGAATTTTAAAAGGAAATGACAGTGAAAAAGTATGTCTGACCATAGATAATTCCATACTACTTGCATCTATTTCTTTCTCCTTTTGTTACATTTTTTTTTCCAGCCAACTTTGACATAAAGTTCCATTCTCAATTCACATCTATTATTTAAGAAATGTAATCCTTCTAACGAAATTAAAAATTAGATGAAAACTTTCCAAAAATTTTTATTCAGATTTGATAAATTAAAACTTTCTATTTTGAGGCAATATATTTTCGTTCGTGACTAAGTCAATGAATCATCAGCCACGTAAAATATCATCGTTTCGACCACACAGAATCAATCATATCGATTTCTAGAAATTAATCGTTACGCTTTCTCGATGATGAATTCATTATGTATCATTATTTTCGAATGCGATTCGATTTTCATCGTGAAAAACGCGATGCAGACAAACAAAGATGTCGTCGCATCCACGCGACACAGTGTTTTCAAAGAAAGGGTGCTTAACGATAAATGGGAAGAAAAATCGTGAAAATCGGTCGCGGAACGAAGAAAATCCGAAAGGCACGTTGACTGACAAGGGGAAGAAAGCGCAGGAAGAAGAGAAAATGCTTTCGAGGACGAGATGGGACCTGAGGAGACGGTTAATCCTCTTGCGCGAGGATTAAGCTCCGCGACGTTTCTCTTTTCTCATTCAACTTTCCGTCTTTTAGAATTGAAAAATCCAAAAAAAAAAAAAGAGAGACTAGAGTATGATTTAAACCATTTTTTTCTTTTTGCAAAAAAAAAAAGAAATGAAAAAGGAAAATTTAACGGAAAAAATATTGAAAAAACTATTTTTCTTATTGAAATAGAAATAAAAATCATCGACAACATCGGAAATAATCCCCGCGGACCTTAATCTTCCGTGAAATCACGCTTGAGACACGCAAGAAAAGAAATCCTGCTACGATAAACGATCCATACAATTGCCAAAAGAATAATTTCAAAAAAAAAAAAAAAAAAAAA